AAGCTATAAGCTAATGATAGTTATATAGGAGCAGATGCTGCTGGTGCAATAAGCTGTACGTCCAATGGATGATGATCTGACTAGTCGACTATCAAAATAATCGTTTGTGGTGTATACGGTACACATGTTGTTGTCGTTGTGGTGCGTGCGACATGTGCAGTGGAGCTGCACAGCAGTAATCACCCATGGCGGGACCACCCGTACTGCTGAAGGTCTTCCTGCAATTTGCTGCAACCTGACAGACAATATTTATCTCTGGACTCATCGCTGCTCTCTGGATTCATGTGTCCGTCCCGAGAGCCCCTTCACCCCCTCACAGGGACCAGCGATGCCAAAAATACAGAGATTTATCGCTGCAACACCTCGGCTCCAGACACGGCTCGGACTTTTATCTGAGGGAGGCACGCTGAAGAAGACGGAGGAGGAGGAGATGACTAAAGCGGGTCTCAGTGAAGTTGACTGTGTCGCAGCGCCTCATAGTTGTCCCTTTGTTGGACCTTACATCAGGAAAAGGTTAAATTTGTGTCTTGCTGGCGACAGACAGTCTAGCTCTCCAGGACATCTGTTCTGCTGTTTTCTGGTTAAATTATGCTAAAGAACAAATCTATCCTCGTACATCCTGCCTTTCGAGGCCGCCCCCTTAACTGCACAGCGAGCCTTGTTGCTGCAGCACTCTATAGATTTTTTAGACCGCTGTAGGTGGAGATATTAGCATCGCTGCGTTTGGCAGAATGCCGTCGAACACTGGCACAAACGTGTGAATATTAACAGCACGTGAGGCGTGGCAGTGCGGGCTGCACTGCCAGCAGTCGCTCTTTACTGCTGAAAAGTCTCAGGCTGAATATCTCATTAGGCCCGAGTCCCTCGTGCAGTCATAATTTTACCTTTTTGGCATCGTCGTCCTCGCCGTTGTTGCGGCGGTGGCAGCAGACTGGGTGGAGGGTTGTGTCTGATCACAGCTGACAGCGATACTTGTTGTTTGCTCCTCACTGAGAACTGCTAGAAAAATGCAGGGAAAGGCCTTTGAAGCAAAAAGGAGCCCTTCAGGCAGCCGGGCCCTTCTTAACATCATCAATAAAAGATGAGAAGAGGAAAGCAGAGAGAGCCAGCGACAAAGAAAGAGATGAAATCGCCTGTTTTTTTTTATCATTGATCCAGGCGCCACGTGAGGTGCACCGAAGGAGATGGAGTTTGTGTTAAAGCAAGTTATTGGTCGGTCCTGTGCAGACGCACTGCTGGAGCACGATCAGCCAGATGTTTATGGAGTAAAAGAAAAGCGTGCTTTGCTCTGTGCTGCAGCTCCGTCCTCTGTGCCACGCTGCCGCAACGTCTTCCAAGAAACCGTTCAGACATGCCGTCTCGCTGGGTGTCCTTTCAGCACCACGAACAGGCCCTCTGCACTTGATTTTAAACGTGCTTCCACATACACCGTCCTGCTGTCCACAGATTGTGATGGATGGTTGTGCTCAAGCCCAAAGCGCCTTAGTTTGAGATCCACGGACAGAGAGGATGAAAAATCACGAGTAGCTTCACTGTCCTGACACTGACTCGCAGAGCAGAACTTCAGGCGTGTCCTGAAGGTTGTGACGTGCACCTCTGGACTGACTGTCCTTAGGACGGTGGTCCTGCACCTGTGTGACCACAGACAAAAACTTTGTCCCTTCTTCAAACACGGTGGCAGCAGACACGACGACAGACCGTCGTCCTGCTACGAGGTTATTAAAAGAAACAATTGCTAGACTGGTTAAACTGGTGGAATCTGAATCTGCTTTGTGGTTGCGTGTTGCTACGGGGCGGGGCTTCCCCCCTGTTGCTTCTCTTGTGTCCTTTTCATCTGCAGCTGCAGTTTGCTCTGCTGTCAGTTGAACAGCAGAACAGCTGGTGTGCTGATGATGACTGCTAGAGATGCAGATCCATGTCAGAGTGGCCAAAATACATTTTTGGAAACTGACTCTTTGTTAAATACAAATAAATACATATAAACAACTCCAGTGTGTTACAAACGGAGACTATCAGCCCGGTGACTCCCGTTAAATGGCACATGGGCCAGTTTTTCCCATGAAATATTGACTTGTGCTACTTTGATGTTGTTGCTAAATAAATCATTCAGACTGTGCACAGCGTATCTGGATTCACAGATTAAATGTGATTTGTCTCATTTTTGGAAATGTTCTGACAGACGCGGGCTCAACAGCCTGGGGTTATCTCAGGTCACGGCCTGGTTTGTTTGAATTCCTTACCGAGTTGTCATAAAACTGGGAAGCGGCTTCAGATCTGTGAGCTCCGTTGATCCTTATCTTTTTGCATCGTTTGACAGTCCGGCCGCTGAAGACAGAAAGTCGGTGTGAGGAGTCAGAGACGTGAGTTTGTGCCTGGCTTTGATTCAGCGCCTCAGATTCAAACCATATGCTGGCCTGAAGAAATGTCTGCATCCATCTTTGTGACTGTCAGCAGATCAGGATACTGTGTTAAACTCATCCGTCTCCTCGAGTGTCACGATAAAACAATGGTGTTCTCACCAGCCTGTGCAAATGGGTACCCTAAAGTAAGACTACAGCTGTCCCGAGCCTTTATGGGGCCTTAAGCATTTTTTTTGTTTCTAATATTCAAAGAAATTTTAATATCAGACAAAGAGAACTTCAGTAAATTTTTAAATGATTATTTTACTTATTAAAGAGAAAAAGCCTCCAAACCGACCTTCAGTCCCGTCACAGCTCTGTGTCCGTGTCATCGCTGGATATTTCAGCCCATTTAAATTTCAGATTGGAAAGGTTTTCTTGCACCTTATGTTCACTTTTCTTTCTGCAGGCCAACCTGAATGACTCTCACAACCAGATGGTCGTCCACTGGGCAGGAGAGAAGAGTAATGTCATTGTAGCCTTGGCTCGAGACAGTGCAGGAACCACTGGGTCCAAAACCAGCTCGGTGAGTACGCCTGAAAACATTCATGCATGTAACATGTAGGGTAGGAAACCTGGGAATACTAAAACCAGAAGGCCCAGGATTATTTCCAGTAGGCTCATACAGTGTTCAGGTTAGTCTCAGGCCTGGTTTTCCAGTTAAATCCCAGTCTGTAAACTGTCTGTGTAAATTAGCAGCGTAGCAGAAGGTTTGTGTTCACACTTGTTTAACATGTTTCTCATGATGGTACAAGTGTTGAGCTACACATTAATCGTTCCCATCTGCTACCTCAACACACACACACACACACACACACACACACACACACACACACAGAAAAGAAACTGAAAGCCTCAAACACAGCCATTAAACAGCACGCCGCTTCTGTTTCCACTTCCTGGGATGACTGAGCACTTTCAGACCGAGAGCTGAGGGGGATACTGCTTTTCCTTCGATTGGGAAGTTTGTTTTGTCTCATTATGGGATGGATGTTGTTCTGTATTCCTCAGAAAGATTTATCTCATCATGCCAGTCCTTAACAGTGACCATGTTGGGCAGAACCATCAACCTTAAATAGCTGGTTGGAATAACGACCGATGCAGTTATTACTCAAACACCTTCATGCTGACCTGCAGTCTAAGCTAGCTAAACTGCTGATAGACAGTTAGGACCTCAGCATTGAATATTTCCTCCACGCTCACTACTTACCAAGCACAGCTGTGTGAGGGTAATGGCCACTGACCAGACATTACTGTGGTTACGAGTATTTGTGTCCGTGTGCTGTCAGAGCCAGAGCGAAATATAAATAATAGTTTTAAAAAATAGTCTCAAAAGGATTTTTTCCCCAGTGATTGCAAAATGTCTAAAGCCAAAATTGTAAATACTGGTAGCACAGCTTTATAGATTATTGGCTGTTATTTATTAAAAATGTGTTTAATTTCCATTATTCTCTGAAATTGCTCGAAATGCATACGTGAGGTCGTGTTTTGAATTCAGCTTGTTTTTATGTCACTGCAGTTCCACTTGTGTTCTGGTGAAAGTGAAAGGAAACACACACAATCCAAATAAACGTCTTTTTGTTGAAATCCAGAAAAGCTGACTCTCACAAATACACAGTCTGGTTTCTGAAGACGCTGAAATGATTCAGGCTTCAAAGTTACTGTCAGAGTTAATAAAGATAAACCGATGAACTGCAAAGCTCTCTTATTTCAGTAGATATTATGTTAGGAGCGTTAGCGTGTGTGCACAGGCAGCATGGAGGCAACCAGACTGTTAAAAGACAGATTCTGTCATCTCTCCATCAACTCAGGGATTTAATATGGTAGTGTTACATATGGGACATGGGACCTTTGACCTCTTGCTGTGGCCAAACACAAGCTCACGTTGTGGTTACAGCGGAGGCGTTGGTCCCCTCATCTTTCATGAATTCAAGTTTAGTTGCGTGTGACTGAAGGTCGTACATCAGTTTAACACGTTTGCTTTGAAGTGTCTGGGGCATGTGTGCAAAGTGCAGACAGAGTTTCGCACCTTTAGACTTCCTTTCACATGTATGCTGAGTTTTCTACAAGGAGATGCTACGAGTCTGCATTCAGTTCGTCTTTGTCACACGTCACCATTTACAAACACTGAAAGGCTCTGCAGCCAACCAGTCACACTTGTCCTTTATAGATGCCACAGAGTTTTTATTTGGGGCATAAAGCCTTAAATGAAAATGAACATTTTTTTAATTATGGCCTATCTCACACACCGACAAGCACAGGGTGTTGTGTTTAAGGACATGTGGTAGATATTTTCTTATTTTTGGTTTTCTTGTTTCTCTGAAAAAGGCTGACATCCATGCCACAGTTAGTTTGCTTTTACCATCTTTCACCATCGAAGTGTCTATAAAGTAACATCTTTTTGTAGGTATTCACGGTTCGGTTCGATATTTTTTCGATACAAAAAAAATGTTCATGCCTTTTTAATTTGTCATTTATTAAAATTATAAATATA